TTGCCAGAGACGCGCGGCGCTCCCACATCGACAATCAGTGGACGCCCTTGGGTCTCAGGGTTTGGTCTCTTGTGGGATGTCTCTTGTGGTCGAGCTCCTGGTCGTCGTCCGCCGTCTTGGGCGGCGTGGCCCAGCGGCCGCGCTCCCAGCAGCGTGGGCCGCGGCCGCCCGCCGCCCCCCTCCCCCCCTGGGGCGGCGCGCTCGGGTCGCGCAGCGGCGCGGTCGTGCAGGACGGGCGCGGCGTCGGCGGCGGCGGCGGCGAGGGCGACGGCAATATGGCGACGTCGATGGGCGACGAGGAGGAGGAGGAGGAGGAGGAGGAGGAGGAGGAGGAGGAGGAGGAGGAGGAGGAGGAGGAGGAGGAGGAGGAGGGCGGAGGAGGAGGAGGAGGAGGAGGAGGAGGAGGAGGAGGAGGAGGAGGAGGAGGAGGAGGAGGAGGAGGAGGAGGAGGAGGAGGAGGAGGGGAGGAGGAGGAGGAGGAGGGAGGAGGAGGAGGAGGAGGAGGAGGAGGAGGAGGAGGAGGAGGAGGAGGAGGAGGGAGGAGGAGGAGGAGGAGGGGGGAGGAGGAGAAGGAGAAGGAGGAGGGAGGGAGGGAGGGAGGGAGGAGGGGAGGGAGGGGAGGGAGGGGAGGGAGGGAGGGAGGGAGGGAGGGAGGAGGGGGTAGTCCTGGGGCCGACGGGCGGCGTCGACGGCGCTCGCATGGGGGCGGGGTGGGGGGGTGGGGGGGGAGGGGTGTGGGGGGGAGGGGGGTGGGGCAAGCTAGGTGCGCGGGGGGCCGACGGGCGGCGTCGACGGCGATGGCAGGGGGGGGGGGGGGGGGGTGGGGGGGAAAGGGGGGTGTGTGTGTGGGGTGTGTGGGGGGGGCGGGTGGGGGGTTGGGGGAGGAGGGGTGGGGTGTGGGGGTGTGGGGGGGGGAGGGGTGTGGGGGGGAAGGGGGTGGGGGCAAGCTGGGTGCGCTCGCGTCATATCTGACGGTCTGCCCTTCCCTCCCATCCCGTTTACCATATTCGCACAATCGGATGTCGCACCATGGTTTACCATTAAATGACATAGCATGGCATGGTGTTGAAGATTAGCGCGCAGCATGACGTAGCATGACTTGGCGACGCCCCAAAGTGGGGGGCTTCTGCGGCCAACAAAAATCAACGAACCGGCATCGAATGTGTAATCACTTCCGATGGCTTTTTCGGGGAGCCATGTTCTAGATTATGAGGCCTACTTGGAAGGACCGACAAAAGCATGCCGTGGCATGGCGCTGGAAATAATGACGCCAGCGCTGCAGCGGGAACACGATTCGGAATGAGCGGAAGCGCAAGAATGATGCTAGCGTTGCAGCGGGCGCTCGATTCGGAATGAGCGGTAGCTCAGACATGAGGCCAGCGTTTGAGCGAGAGCAGCATTTTGAAAAAGGTAGTAGTGTTCATATTGTGTAATTGTGGATGGGGGGAACAGGGGTTGAGAGGGAGGGAGCATTTCAGTGAGATCAGCATTTTGAAAAAAAACAGTAGTGTTCATATTGTGTAATGGTGGATGGGGGGCAGGGGTTGAGAGGGAGGGAGAGGAGGGGGAGGGGAGGGGGAGGGGAATCGGGGGGAGGGGAGGCCGCAGCTCGCAGCTCGGATTCACGCGGTCTGGCGCCTGCTGTGCAGCCTGGGTGTAGAAGGCGGAAGGGGGGGACGGGGCGAGGGAGGCAGTGGGAGAGTGTAGTCAGGGAAAACAGGCAGCCCTTGCAAAGTAGACAAGTAGACCCGCTCGAAGGGCCTTCAAAGCTGGACCCCCTCTTGCGGACGCTCAGAACGCCAGTGTGGCCACGGCGTTCCTGCATCCCCCCGCCCCTGCCGTATGGGCGGGGAGATGCAGGAAAGCGGGTTTGGCCGCAGCGCTCCGCCTCCACCTGCCGGACCACGGTCGCCGCCGCGCGGCGCAGGGCGGCCTCGACACTGTGTCGCAGTTCCAGGCGCGGCCCACTGCGGCGTGTGGAGCCGGCGTGCGCTGCCAGGCCCCAGGCTGCAGCAGTGTCAGCATCTGCGTTCGCCAACAGCCACTCCTCGTCCCAGCATGCTGGTTGGTGAACGCACCGCAGCCCGCACTCGGCGCTCGTCCTTCGTCAGGGGGAGGAGGGCAGGAGGTGGAGGGGGAGGGGGGGATGGTGAGGGAGGAGGGATGAGGCGGAGCAGTGGGATCTGGGGTTGAGGAGGGGGAAGTGATCAGCATGAGGAGCAGAGTGAGGGTTGGGGAGGGATGAAGAGGACGCTGGGGAGCAGAAGAAGTGAGGAGGGAGAGGAGAACGACGCGAGGGGAGGGACAGGAGGAATGGGATGAGAAGGAGGAGGAGGGAGGAGGACGCGGAGGGAAATATGAGAAATCCAGAAAAGCGGGAGAGGTGAGAGTGACAGCGAGAGAAAGTCGGAGGAGGCGAAGGACAAATGGGGAGGGAAGAGGGAAGAGCACCAGGAACGACGCCAAGCGGAGCAGGGCCGCCCAGGGCGGGGACCATGAGCGCCTCTTCGGAGCCAGTGCGCCTCCTCGCCTCGCGTTTCCCGTCTTCTCCTCGCTCGCGGGTTGTGGTCTAGTCGTCCCTATTTCCATTCCCTCTCTTCGGCTTTGTCGTGGGGCTTTCAGAGGAAGAGGAGAACGAGGAGGAAGATGATCAGGATAAGGAAATCGTTTGTTTGTTTATGTCCTTGGCCAAAGCGAGCTTTGCCAGGGGGGGAGACTGGTGACGTCACGTTTCGCGCCGACGCCGTCTCGTGACGCCAAGGACTAACCAAACACAGTTCGGCGGAAACTAGATACTATAGGGATCTGCGGTGGCAAAGCACGCATGCCTATAGGGATCTGTTGCGGATGAGCGCCTGACGGTTCTTATTCCTCCTCTTCCTCGAGGCCCTTTTCTGTCTCGAGCCAAGATCCAGTGGGCCCATCGAGGGGGCCCCCGCTTTTGGCATCCCATCGGCTCTTTCATGTTCGGGAGGGGCCCTGCACCGCCCTTTCGATAGACCCAGGTAGTAACATTCCATGCGATGCAAGCTGTTTAGGTTCAGTGTGCGCAGATTGATCCAGCCGCGGCGGCTGGAGGAGGTCGCTCTGCTGGCGCGAGGCTTCGCGATACACTTCCTGGTGAGCACGCGGTTGCGCGCGGCGCAGTCGGAGGTTGTGCGCAGGCAGGCGAAGGGTGGCGGGCACGAGTATTACCACTTTGGATATGGACGTGGCCCCATTCACGACCCGTGCTGCTGGAGTTTCCATCGGAGTACGCAGGAGAGATCTTGGACACCGAGTGCATCGCGTACTCCCTGAACCTGCTGCGCAGGGCCGCGCTGGTCTCGTGCGGGTGGTCACGGGCTCGCTTGACGTCACGGCCATCGCCCTCTACTTCCCGCCGCCTGGGCCTCGCTCTGGCACCGCCGCATGGAGACGCACTGTCGACGTGCTCCTCGAGTGGCTCAACACCGTTCTCGACAGCGCGCCAGAGCGGTCCACCCCTGTGACCTTCACGGGCCTAAGCGACTCGTTCGCACAGGACGAAATGGGGGGCCGCTTCGCGCGCGCGGGGCCCAACGTTCAGACGCGCACGGGCTACGCGGCCCGGGGGTCTCGAGAAGTGTTGCACCGACATCGTTTGGCTTGCGCCACCACGTTTCACAAGATCGCGCCCGCGTACCATGGGGAGAATGCTTCGTCTAGGATTGATCACTACGCGCTGCCTGCTGGTGCCATCTCGCGAGTTTCCAAGCTGCTCACGGTGGCGAAGGCGGCGAGGCAGTTCCAGCTCTCCCCGTCCAAGGGGGTGCTCCACGACCACTCGCCAGTACTCCAGGAAGTGGACCTGCGAGTCCCGTCCCTCCTCTATACTGCTGCCGCGGCCCCGTGGAACTCCGCGCGATCGAGACGGCCGCGCAGGTGGCCAACGCGACGTTGTCGCGGGCAGCCCCCATCGTACCCTGGGTACTTCGAGAATAACATGACAAATGATGGCAACGCCACGCCCATGGTTGCTCTGACCCCGATCGCCAAGACTTGCACAACACCGGGTCCGCAGGGGCAGCCCGCGCAGCATGGCTGGGGGTCAGATCGCCGGGGGTCAGGCGGTTGATTCGGTCGCGCCGAACAATTTGCATTGTGTATGCATGAGGCGCGGCGCAGGCGCGATCTAGCCAGCGTTCAGCATTCTCCCCGACGGCTGGCAGGAGAAGGAATGCCGCCAAAACGTCGCAGTTGCTCGGCTGTTCGCAGGCGCGTTGGATTGGCTGATGAGCTCGCTTCGACTCTGGGCCCCCCTGGCTCGGAAGGCGGATTACTCGCGGTCCCAGTCTCGGTGGAATATGTTTTAGCACAGCGGGCCCCTTGGGCCCCTCGAGGGATGGGTGAGCGGAAACCGGCGGGGGAGCTGGGATCTCGAGACATTCGAAGAGCTACGTGGGTGCTCCGATGGCGAAGTTTGGCTCATGCTTTTGAAACCGAGATAGTTCAGTAAGCCGCGCCCGCCCCCTTTTGAGGTCGGAGGTGCACCAGTGCCCCCCGAGATAGAGGCCACCAAATCGGGTTTGGGAAGTCATGCCGCGCGTTGGCGGGCGGCGGTGAGTTTTCCGACTTGCGCGGGTTTCTCGGTTGGCTGGCAGGCCCCCAAACCCGATGGCGGCAGTGGATCTCTGCATGGCTTCTGTTTCTTCTTTCGCGCTGTCGCACGCGAGTTGCGCAAGTTTGTTCCGCGCGCGGCGCCTGCGGATTTCGACCGCGGATGCGCCCCTCGCAGACGGAGGGGGGGCGCCATTCTTGGGGCGCGCGTGTTGTCGGAACGCCGTGTGTGGCACATCGCTGTGTTTGATGACGTGAAGAACGCTGTCGGCCGTTGTGATCACGAGCGCGTGAACCGTGGACTGCCAGAGTACTTGCCTGCAGGGGGCGCAGGCCCGGTAGGCGACAGGCGCACCGCCCACCTCCTTCACTTTGATGGCGCGGATCGCCCCACCACCTTGCGCCTCCAAAGCGGGGCGCTCATGGGCGACACCGGCTCGCCAGGTGAGTTTCGCGCCGGTTTTGCCGGCCCCCTCCAGCAGTGGCTCGGGGCCAGCCAGGCCCCCGCCTTCGATGCTCAGCGCGCTGCGTTCCCGCGTGAGGTCTACGCAGGTTGGTTCGAATATGTAGACGACCTCGCTTATTTTCTGATGCTCCAGAAGGGGGCTCTTTCGGGGGCCGTCGCCGCAGCGCGCGAGGCCCAGGGCGGGCCAGCGCTCGGATGCAAGCAAAACGCGGGGGGGTGGGGGGCGCGCAGTGGTTGCCCCGTGCCTCTGCGGCTGCAAGGCCATTCGCCAGTTTTATGCGGCGGAGGTCGGCGGGGCCAGAGTGGCCGGTGACGCGAGGTGCTGGGGCGCGCAGTTTCTTACCTCGGGCGTTTCTCTTCACCTGCTAGCCTTGAGTGGGCAAGCGGCCAACAGGGGGTGGTTGTCTTATAGAGAGCTGCGGACCTCGGGGGGCCTTCTCAAGGTGAAGAGGCGAGTGTGCGTATACGTGGTGCAAGGTGCGCCATTGTCAGGACTTGCGCAGCATCTCCTCGCGGCCTCCCAGGAGGCCCAGCTGGACCTCGCCCTCCTGGGCAAACGTAGATGCATCGCTGCGGGGGCTATGTGTGGCCGATCTGGGGATCATCCTGTCGCGATGGACTTTTTGGCTGTCTGGAAGTGGATGAACATGGCGCCTTCGATGGCACCAAACTATCGTTCGGTGGCCCGAAGAACACCCCCAGGTCATCGCCCTCCTCTTCGGTCGGCTCGGCTTCGAGAGCGCCACCCCCCCCCTCATCGCTGGCCGCCTCACCCAGCGCGCCGGCCCGTTTGCCGTTCGTTTCGTCTCCGGCATGTATCAGCTTGAGCTTCCTACGGATTATGAAGATAGGCGCTCCTCCTGTGGCTAGGACATATGCGTGCCCTTTCATGATGACTACATATCCCACCTTTTTTCTGGCTGCTGACGTCTCTTCTCTGCGTAAGACCTGGCAGAGCGATGAGACCGACCTGGGCACCATTGACGTCGGGGGCTACCATCTCGCCAGCAGCGTTTCCCACGCCGAAGACTTGGCGGGCCCCTGCGGTTTCGTCCACGCGTACAAGTGCACGACTGCTGATGGACGTGACTCTGGCGCGCGATGCTATGCCCATGCTGCCCGCATTGCGCGCCAGACACACGCCGGGGAGAAGCTCATGGCGACTTCTCTTACTATGCCCGTTGCCCTACAGCTCACCCCTGCCGTGCCTTTCGCAAGGGAGTGTGCGACATTCACTGTGCCCGTGCGATTCATCCTGAGGTCATCCCCTAGCTCGAGTGTCTCATTGGTTGCACATATTCGCATTCCGATTTGGCTCTGCTGCAAGATCAGATCTGTGAACGGCACTTCCCATTTCTACCTGGGCGGGGAGGCAGTGATGGCGACGCCCAAGTGGCAATTCCCCGAGCGCACTCCAGGCGGCGCAGTGGCCGACGGCGCCCCGCGAGCCGCCGAGGCGAAGGGCCCCCGCCCTCGACGACAGCGGCCGCAGGGGCAGGCGCCGCTTCCAGCCGATGGGGCCGCGTCAGGAGGCGCAGCTAGCAGCGGCAGCGGGGGCCCCAACAGCAAGCGGCAGCGCGGCAGGCATCTGGGGAAGGTGAAGGAAATGGGCTTCACCAAGAAGCAGGCCCAGTTCCTCAATGCACTAATCAAGCAAACGCTGATGACGACGCTGATGGCGCGCGACATGCGGGCAGCGGGCGCGGGCACTTTCTTCCTGAACGCAGACCTGCCCGAGATCGAGGCAGCGCAGGAAGCGCGGGCGACATGTTCATCAGAAGCCCGAGCCCGCGGCAAAGGCCACTGGCTCGCCCCCCCCCACCTCCATATCTTCAATGAGTTCGCCGGCAAGTTGCTCGAGCGCGGGCTCGCGCTGGGGCAGAGGGCGCTCGCGATTCTCGAAGAGTGGCACGTGCGAATATGGTGCGAGCAGCAGCCGCACGAGCTGCGCGGCGTGCTTCGTCCGCTCCGCATCACGAAGTGTTTCGACCAGAACAAGCGGAACCTGCATCTGATGCTGAAGGACGTGCCCATGCCGAGCGCGCCGCCCGAGTCCGACGAACAGCCGCCGCCTTCGCCTCTGACCGTGAGAGCCCTCCTGCAGAGAACAACCGAGGTAATCGGAGGCCGCGGAGCACTGGGCGCGGCGTCGCCAGGCGCGGAGGCGCCATGGAGGAGAGACTACAGAACGCGGTAGACGCAGCGGACGGTAAATGAGAGGAAGCCCGTCTCGAAGGTTTGAACTGGGGGGCCTCCCGCCCCGTGGAGCCTTGGCTCCACTAAGTCGGGAGGTACGTCGCCGTCTTGCTGCCCACTCCGTGGGAACAGGCTTGCGATTTGTTCAGAGGCAGGGGGCGCTCTATTTCAACTTCTGCATCCTCCTGCCAATGAGGACCTACATATCGATAGACGGGTGCGCACTGTGAGCTCTCCAGTGATAGTTGCCCGCCGCCTCTCGCCTGTTTCATGCTGCCGCGAGGTCCGCCCCCTCTGTTGGCCACAAATTCAACGCACCGCGTGGTTCCCCCCCCCCCCGGGGTGTCTTGGTTTTCTCTGGGCTTTTGTGCCCTCGTAGTCCTTGACCGTCGGTGCGCGTGGCCCTGAGGCTCAGCTTTGAGGCCCGCCAGGGGCCCATTCTGAACCACATGACTTGTAAAAGTCGTCCGACGGGTGCGCTCTCCCGAATTCAACACGCCTGTGCGTTTCATTTGAAATCCCACGAGTTTAACACGCCACTTCCTTATGCGAGCACGCCGCCTGCTGTCCACTCCGCTCGGCATTGCAAGGACGAGGAGAGATTCGGGCCCACAGTCGCGTCTTACCTTACTTACTCCTCCCCCTCCTCGCCATCATCCTGGCCTCACCCTGCTTCTGCCTGACTATCCCTCCCGTGGTCGTCGTCGTCGTCTTCGTGTTTCTGCCTCGTTGGGAAAAGTCAGCCCAGGAAAAACGGGACGGCTGGTACGCGTGTGTCTGACCAGTAAGTTGTGTACACATGGTTTGGCCAGCCTCAGCGAGAGATGGATACACATGTGGCCGCATGTCTTTCTAGTGTTCGGTCCTCGTTTGGCTAAATACGCCAGCCATCCTCACTCGTTTCCAGTACCTGCCCTCCGCAGGTTCTTCATGTGATTCCACTTGCGTGTGTGTTCCAGCCTCCGGGCTTGCTTGATATACCCAGCTTGGTGTTCTCGATATTAGCCCGGCCATTCAGAAGAAATGATGTTGTTCGGTGTTGGCACGATTGAGTTGGAAGTGGCCCACGTGCTCCTCATGGGGTTCCCGCCGTTCCACACGCTCCCAGCTCGCTGCAGCGATGTGGGGCGCACGTGCAGCGCAGCCATAGGGGAATTGGACGACAAGCGGAGGAACGCGATGACAAGGAAGGGGAGGACGACGACGAGACCACTGCTCCTAACGGGCCCAGAGGCGCCCAGACTCCGCCCAGAGAAAGCACCGACAACATAACTGGAATCAAGCAGGTTGTTCCGGCCTGGCCCCGCCCGTCTTGCCTGCTCTTTCTTGTCGATTCCCTCCCTCATTCTTCTCTCCTCGTGTTGAGCACCTCGCAATGCAATGACGACGACGAGGACGACACGAGGAGGGGAATAATGGGAGGAGGACGGGGAGGAAAAGGAAGGAGGATTGGGAGGAGGGAAAGGAGAGTATACCCACGTTCTAGTCGAAGCACCCCCCCTCGTTGCGTTTGGCCGTCCGTAGATTTTCATCGTACGTCCTTGCGCATCCGTGTAGGCATCAGCTGTCCATCAAAATCGCTCTGACATGTGCCGCCCATAGGGGGTACCGATGCACGCAGCGCTCCGTGAGAAGCAGGAGGAGGCCGAGGAGGGAGGGTGTGGCCCCTTCGTTCCAGGATCCGCCCAATGCGATGAAGTTCCTCGGGGGCCTCCTGGGCGGCAAAGGCGCCGGCTCCCTCTGGGCCCCAGGCTGTTCTGTGGAGTTCGCCTTCGCACTCGTCGTCGCCCTCGTATTGGTATTCGTCCTCGGCCCCCTCGGTATCCTCATCTTCCTCCTGCCAAGCCTGCTCCCCCTCATCCCCGTTGCGGTTATCCTCCTTCTTCTGTCGCTGTCCTCCTCTCCTCTTCCTCTCTTATCGTTGTCGCCGTTTTCATCTATGCCCCAAGCCCGACCTGATGCGTCGACGTCGTTGTTCTCGTCCTCCCTCCCTCTTTTTTTTCCCTTCTCCTCCGCCATCATCGCTCCTCCCTCTTCTCCTCGTCTCACTTCCTTCCTCCCACACCTTTCCTCTCTTCTCTCCTCATACCTACTACTCGCTCCATTCTAGCAGTCCAAAGCCCTACCCGCCGTTGAGGGGAGGGGGAGGGCGCGAGAGGAAGAGAATGAATCGGGGAGTTGAGAAGGGAGTGCGGATGGGGACGAGTGAACTCATTGTTCTGGCGAATCGTGATAGTCGCGCCGCACCTCTAGAAGAGCAGTGTAGTTATATTTGTCAGCGTCCGACGGCCGTTTCTAAGCCTTGGGACCGTCAACATACTATCCAGTTGTCGTCGGCAAGTCCCGCCACCTTGCCAGCACAGCATTCTAGGTGGTCCTTGCGCGAGACATCACGAGCAGCCCGTAAGTGTGACACCGCCACGAGCGGCGGTAGATGCACTGCGGTGACGGTTGGAGCACGCCCAGGAAATTTTCACATGTGACGCATCGCTTGATTTTGGGCGTTCGTAGCCTGTCCCAGGGCTCGCTGCGGTGACCGCTCGGGCAACGCCGACATGTGTCACATGTGACACCTCCGCCCGTTCTGGCCCATCCAGCATGTCAGTGGTTCTCTCCTGCAGCAGAGTAGGACGATGAAGTAAGGGAAGGACTTGAAGGCGATGCTCACGACGACCATGATGGTGATGATGATGGTGATCATGTGGTTGCTTATGCTTTTGCTTATGACGCGTTTTATGTTTGCTATACTGTTGTTGGTGATGCTGGTCATGACGACGAGGGTGAGGATGTCGATGATGATGTTGCTGATGATGATGATGATGATGATGATGATGATGATGATGATGATGATGATGATGATGATGATGATGATGATGATACTGATGCTGCTTGGGATGTGTTTGGTCATGGTGATAATGTTGGTAGTGATGATGGTGGTCGTGATGGTGGTGTGGCTGTTGATGGCGACGGTGTTGATGATGCAGACGAGGACGAGGATGGGCGTCGGGATGATCATATTTATTTTGATGGTATGGGGGACGAGGAAGAGGAAGAGGAGGCAGAGGAGGAGGACCGTCACATGTGACACCTTTCGTCTTCACTTGTCGACGAGCATGAACCTTGTTTGGGCTGCTCTGCGGCGGTCCTGGGCTCCTGGGGGGGCAGTCTTGGGGGCGTCGTGGGTCGTCTTGGGGGCCTCTCTGGCCGTTTTGGTGCTTTCTTGGGTTCCTAGTAGCCGTCGGGGTGGGTCTCTTGGGGCCGTCGTGTTGCCGTCTGGCGCCGCACAGGGATCATCTTAGGCCGTTTTGGGTCCCTGCGGAGTTCCTCTTTGGCCACGTTGAGATTCTCTTGGGTTCGTCCTGGGCCTTCCCGGGCTCTCTCTGGCCAGTTTGCGGCCATCTCGGAGGCCTCTTGGGCTCTGTTGAGGCCGCCTTGGGTCGTCGTAGAACCATCTTGAAGTCCTTTTGGGCCATCTTGAGCTGGAGGAAGACCCACAAAGCGAGAATGCGGAATTGCTTTAAAGTCGCAACAGGAAATCAGTGATTTGGGCATTGTCGGGCCTTGCTAAGAAATCCCTTAAAGTCGTCTTGGAAGCGTCTTGGGTAGTCCTCGCGCCATCTTGGGCTACCTTGGAGCCATCTTGGGTCGTCTTGGAGACATCTGGGGCCATCTTGGTGGGCGTTGTGGCCTGCCTGGGCCATATGGAAGCCTTGTTGGTCGTCTTCAACTAACAGAGCCTCGGGAAGATGGGGGCGATGTGCGCGGGCCAGCGCTTCGAGAGCTCGGGGGGCGCCCCCAGAAGATAACATAATCCCTGCCAGGTAGAACTTGACATTCTAGCACGCCTGAACGTGCCAGGGGGCACGGTAACGGATTCGGGATGTTGTGCACAGTAACGGATTCGGGATGTTGTGCGGGCAGCGGGGAAGGGGTCGAGTGGTCCAGGGTTTGGGGCGGAAAAGGGGAGGGATAATGACGTCTGCGTATTGCAATAGTGTCGGTTACTACATTGAGTTTCCGATTGCAGCTATGATCAGTTCGACTGGAAGCCTTGGGCCATACCCCCTTGCATTTCTAAGCCTTACGAGTGCCATCGGCACGATGTGGGCATGGGTCCCCAAGCTTGGCCAGCTGCTGGGTCGCGAAACTTCCATTGTCCCCACAGAACGACATTTCCTGCCCAGTGTGAAACTATGACTACGGTTTTCGTGGACATACTCCCTACAGATGTGCACCCTGGGGGAAAGCTCGAAGACATTGCCATCATATGTCCAGGGGAGGATATAGGGGAGGTCGCGGACGGGCGCGGGCAGGAAGAGCAATGGAGGAGGAAGGAAGGAGGGACAAGTAGGGTTTGGGAGGGGAGAGGGGTGAGGGAGGGGTGGGGAAGAGATGAGGGGCGATAGGGTAGGGTAGGTGGTCACCGAGTCCAGTCACGATGCCTCGCATATCTCTTGCAAATAGTTGCCGGATAAATGAGGTGGGGGGGGGCATGTTCTTCCCATCGAAAGTCGTTGGATCCATCGGTCTTTGTGTACAATGTATAGACATGTGTGTAGATCGTTGCAGTGGGATCAGCTATACATTACCTTGTTGGGGCGAGGCAAGTGGCACCTTATTGGCCCGCTACACCATCCTGGGCAACTCGCGGTGATCTAACGATTTGTCGTTTGATCGGTTCATTGTCTTGGCATCCCAGTCGTTCGCATTCCAGATTGATCAACCGTCGGTGTGTTCTTGTGCTGGTCACAAATGAATGCGGTACACGTTCGCCAGTTTTTCGTGATCGTGATGCAGTGTATTCACCACCACGACATTGTGTTCGTCTTTGCTTAGCTTACGCACAATGCTTCGGTCGCTCAACCGAGGCAGTGGTAAAGAGTTGGTGGACAAGCTGGTTGGGGAGCTGGAGGACTCGGCCGGTGCTGATGCATCGTTTATGCGCGATTGCATCGACAGTCAGGGTGGCTTCGCTCGCATTCGTTTGTGTTTGATGTCGGGCGGCGATTGTCATTACATCTACAATCGTTGACGTCAGATGACGGATGCGCCCATCCTCTTTTCGAGTTCCCTTCAGAAAGTGGTCGCAGACCACAGGACATGTTTGGAAGTCTTTGTCAACCCAGAAATGTCAGTGTGCTCGTACAGTGGGCACTCTGAGTTTCTTAATGAGCGTGGGGGGGCCCGAGAGTGGTCAACCTCGCCTCGTTGTCGCGCCGCGACAGGGGTCGGAGCTCCTTCGGCGCGCGGTGGCTGCCCGCACCGGGGTTCGATGCGGGGTTGTCGGCGGGGATGACGCCCCCCCCCGACGCTTCTTGAGAAGTTCGGAGTGTGTGCTTCGGGGCCAGGAGTAGGTGTGGTGGCGCGCCCTGGCCGTCTTCGGATGAAGCCCGATGGCGCGATCTCGGCCTCTGCGCGCAGCCAGCTCCCGCCTGCGCCGCGCAGCCGCGACAATAATTGCGGTTTTGCCTTCTATCGGTCCCCCCAATTAACGACGAGAGTCCCTTCATCTTGATGGGTAAGTTTTCCACCGCCACTGCCATATGCAGGACGGGGGAAAAGGGAGGATGAGGAGGTCCCCCTCTTCCTCCTCCTCCTCCTCCTCCTCCTCCTCCTCCTCCTCCTCCTCCTCCTCCTCCTCCTCCTCCTCCTCCTCTCCTCCTCCTCCCTCACCTACATATGGTAAAGTTGGTATCGGTGGTTCGTTCCGAGTGGGGCGAGTGGCTGGGATGGCTGCGCGCTCTGGAGGCGGAGGTGCTGATCGTGGAGGGCCGTGGACGGGCCTGGATACGGACGCGGAGTATGCCAAGGCTACGCCGTGTGGTCGGTTTGGAACGCTTTGGAGGTGGAGTTGCAGCACGTGGGCGATCCCTCCGCTCGTTATGGCCTCGTCTTGGCCCTGAAAGTTGCGGGTACACCTTAGGCGATGCTTAAGAAAACCTAAATTTTCGTCCAGAGTCTCGATTATTCTTAATTTTTCAATGTAAATCCAAAGATTTTGATAGAAGTTCTGGGTTTTATTCAATTTCTGAGACTATGAATTTCTTAACCCATGATTTCTTAAGCATTTCGCAGGGTGTAGGCTTGGCTTTTTTCCGTTGTACTCTCTTGGACGCCTCCGACGATTACTAGGCCAGGTGGGCTTTCTATTGTGGGAAGTGTGTCAACCCTGGCGTGCTCAGGTGCACCAGCGGGGTCGGTGACGACGACGGGCAGAAGTATACGGAGGAAGCGGTCGTATCGATCCACGTGTGGCGGCGCCGCAACGTTTGGACCCGTTCTCCCTACTTGGACGGCCTGGTGTAGATCTGCACGTGTGCGCCTGAGGACATCATTCCCGCGATCGAGAGCCAGTTCAAGGAGCTCCAGAAGGACAATTCGGAGCGCCGGAGGACAGGAAGAAGGTCGAGAATGTCTGGGGGAAGGTAAAGGGCAAGAGTGACGAGGACCAGGAGCAGGGCAGTGGCAGGAAGCCGGCGGCCCGCGGAGGCCGCGCGATCTCAGTTGGAAGGCCGGTTGACGCGCCCGTAGGTGAGGGCCTGGCCGAGCTTGCGCGGGACTTGGAGCGCGACGAGCACCGCGGGCGGGACGAGCGCCGTGGGCGTGGTCAGGCCTCCCCCCCCCCCCAGTAGCGGGGTGGCCGAGATGGCCGAACTGATGGGCTCGGGTTGCAGCGGTTCGCCCAGGTCGCCCGGCGCTGGGCTGGGGGATGCAGGGGCAGAAGCCGCGCCCAGGTCGCGCCCCCAGGGACAGACGCACATAGGTTTGATGGCCAGCCGCGAGGTCACGGAGAAATCTGCGGTCGAGGATAGGGACGGCAGGAAGCACCAGCATTTGGACGATCGTGATCGTCGCGATCGGCGCCGGAGCCGCTCTCGCGGCAGGCGCCGTGAAAACCGCTCCAAATCGCGGAAGACCGCGTGGGGAGAGGCGGAGAGGCGACCCAGTCGGCCTCGGAGGCGACGCCGGCTCTTCGAAGAGTTTGTTGCTCCGAGTTCTGAAGACGGGCGCGAGCTCCCTGAGGGATACCCGGGAGCTCGAGACCCTGCACGTTATCCTGGACCATCCGGCTCTGGGGCGAAACCGCGAGGCGGCGGACGTGGTGTCGATAAGGACGGCGGCAGCCAGAGCAGCTGCGAAAAACGGGGATTGTCTCTGAACTATCTCTTCGGAGCTCGTCGGGAGCGACAGCACGACCCCCGCCGCCGCGGACCAGGGGCAGGCAGTGACCGAGGAGATGAATCTGCGGAAGTTGCAAATCACCTCCAGCCTGAGGAGATGAACCTGTGGCCTGCTGACGGCCTAGCCTGGAAGGGGAAAGGATTCAAAGGGTGAGTGGAAGCCCTCCAGAAGCGACTTGGGGCCACGCGGGAACGGCAAGGGGAAGGGCGCAGACCAGGACAGAGGCAAGAACGCGGGCAGGAAAGGTTACGAGCACGAAAACAGTAGGAACGCGGCAAATCGCTGGGGCAGTTGGGTCTGAAGTCCAAGCGCACGGGCGTCTTGATCCACATTATCTGGGCAAGCTCGTCTGGGGAGTGGCAGGGCCGCGCGCGCATTTCAGCGCGGGCCTGCCATCCATGATGCCATTTGGCTTTTCAGTGGCGCGGCGCCGTCTGCGGGGCCTCGCGGCTTTTCGCGGCCGAGAGAATCGTGGGAGGAAATGGGCGCGCGCCTCTGCGACGACTCACGCGACGTCTTTTACCTTCCTCATTTTCCCCTGCGTCCGTCTGGCCTCGCTTTGTCGGCTTCTTTGCTGACCTTGTTTCTGCCCAGGACATTGCTGCAGTCTCGCCGCAATGGCGCCCGTCCGTTCGGGCCCCCGTCCGAAGTCGGCCGCGCAGGAGGTTGCTGGCGCATGCTCGCGAGCGTCTGCGCACGAAACCACCGCCAACTGACCGAACGCGCGAAGTCTGCGCCAGGCTCGGGCATCTGGGCGACCCCAAGCACGCCGGGGCACTGGGCCAACCGGCGCACGCCTGAACCACGGTGAACCGCGGCCCACTAGCAGCACGCGTAGAGTCAAGCCACCAGAGCTGAGTACTGACCATGCCCACCGGCGACAAAACACGCGACGACGGAGGCTGAGAGAGCCGCCAGGCGCGCGCTCGAGGCCGACGAGATTATCCAAATGTGGCTTCAGATTTGGGAAGCTTGCGCGGCGTCAGTCGCCCACCGTGTTTCCGAAAAGCTTCGGGGCGATGTGTCCGATCCACCCGGGTGCTTCTTGCCGGTCGAGGACTCCCGCAGGCCCCCTTGTAGGTCCGAGCCGCGGGCCAGCGACGACCAGTGGTATTCCATTATGAAGGCAGGCGTCGCCCGAGGCATCCTTGGCGAGGCCCCCGAAGGCGGAATTTCCCGGGCTCTGCTGGGCATGCAGTTCAGAGTTGGGGCCACGGGGTGGACATGCGCGAGGTGGTGGATGGGGCGCGGGGGCGCGATCTAAGGTTTATCTGCATTTTCGTGCCGGCGAACGCCAGCTTGCGGTGGGCGCGGGGTGGCACTTCGGAGTTGCCTTTCCTAGCGCAGCTGTCTTTGGCGATGTTGGGCGGGGGCGTGTTCTTCATTGATTCCGGGGACATGGGGTCTTGCTTTGACATCTTCCCCATGCCCTGCCCAGGTGATGGGGCGGCAACTGCGCGTTCTCCAAAAAGGTTTCCCCCTGCAGTTCTTGGCGGCCCAGCGCGCGCGACTTCGCGCGTCTGCGCGCGGGCGGCCCCAATGGGCTCGGCGGCGGCCGTCGACCTTTTTTTTTTTCCAGTGCGCGGATTGCAGGGGCGCGCCCCCCGGGTCACGCGCGCCGCCAGATGCCGAGACCCGGGCGCCTCGCCCGGCATCTGAGAGCGGCATTTCCCTTGTTTGCGCAGGCGCGGTCGATGACCTTGAGAAGATTGTGTGGGCGACGTGTTGGACAAGATCGATCGGTCTCCGTGGATCTGGCGCGTGGTCGAGCGCGTCGTCGTCTGGGCAGCCGCGGGTCGGAGCGGGTTCGGCCCCGCTTTGTCGGGCGGTCTAGTGCAAGCCTTCGTCGAGCAATGCCATTCAATGATCATTGCTTTGAACGTCGTCGGGGGAGAGGGGGCCGCCCGCGTCTGCAGGAACGCCGCGCGAGGCGGAGACCTGGGCGGCCTTGAGGGCCGGCCAGCCCGCGGCAAGGCCACGGGCGCGAAGTTGTTCTCGAAGACCATCGTGACGTTGCGTCCTCCGTCCTGGTCCGGCGCGTGCTCGCGGCGTCGGGCGGGCCCGTTTTGCTGTCGCGCCGGCGGCGGTCGAAGTCTTGCCCCGCGCGGCGAGGGCGTCGTCGCGGCCGAAGACATCGCGGGGACCTCGCCCCCACTATCCCGTCGCCCTTGCTGGCGTCTTCGGCGAAATCCGACGCGCGATCGGATGCGGCGACGCCTCCGAGGAAAGCGGGGAGCGAAGTGGGAGTCACCCATGGATGTCGCGAAGAGCAGCGCGAAGGTTGGGCGGCGATGCAGGCCGAGGAGGGCGGCCCTGGTCCCGGCAGCAACTGCAACTCTACATGCCTATCCTCGTCTCGCGCGCTAGTCCCGAGTTTCGGGGGTTTGCGCCGCGTCCAAAAACGCGCGGCCCCTTCTTATGCTCGCTTCCTTGTCTCCGGGTTCATGGGTCGCCCTGCCCTCGTCGGAGGTTCCTCGGCGGCGCGGGCGCCGCTGCGCGCTGTCGAGATCGAGACGGCCGCCGCCGACGACTTTACCCAGCGACGTGGGGCGCGAGAGAGTAGAGAGTGTAGCTAGATCCGACTGGGCCGGCGCGGGCGTCGAACACTGGGGCCCTCCAGCGAGAGTTTTGGAGCGCGCCCCGTGGATCGCAGCCCGTTCGACGGCGCGCCCACCGGGCACGCCGCAGCCCCCCCGGCCACGCGCGCCGCCGCGTCAAGAAGTCGAGTACCGCGTTCACTTTCGCGCTGGCCAGGCGTGGCCGGGGATCATTCAGCAGGTGGGCCTGCTGTCGCGGGGGCCTTCGTCGGGGACAAGTCGTCTTCTTTCGCGATTGTCCTGCGTTCCATCGAGCGCTTCATCATCCTCAGTGCACGGCGCGCGCGAGTTGGTCCCGTTGGCGCGTTCAGCGCGACTCCGCGGGCCCCTTTTTCTCAAGCTGCGCGCGCCGCGCATGGGGGCGATGCGCCGCGCGTTCGCCGACCTGCGCGGCACCGTGCTGCTACGCGCCCCGCCACATCCTGAAGATTGGGCGTTGCGGGCACGCCGGACCAGCGCCGAATAGTTAGCGAGGCGGTCGTCCTCTCGGAGGTCGCGCCCGAGATCCGACCCATGGTCCAGAACGAGCGGCAGGGCAAGAACATGCAGCATCTATGTGAGTTCCTAGCCCATGGGAGGTTACCCAGGATGAAACACGAGGCTGACCACGCATACCCACATCGACGATAGCCGACAGGGTTCCCCTTGCCTGGCCCTCATCTTGCTCTGGGGGACCAGGCAAGCGCATCGTTACGCGCGTGGGCTACATATCAACATGGTCGAATTCATAGATGTTATGACTTCCGTTATCTCTCTCTCTCTCTCTCTCTCTCTCTCTGGGTCTCAGGTTTTGCATGACGTTCTGTATTTCTCATATATGACAGCGACGTTGCGGCACCAACCACGGCCAAAGGACTGGCCCGTGCCAAGGTTTTTTTTTGTCTGCGGTGGCGGCGAACATGCACGTGCTCACTTTGTTGACGACACTGTGGTTGGGGCAACGCCGATGAAGCCGACCGATTGTGCAATGCGCCACGAGTCCGACAATAAGGCCCTGGAGTCGCCTTAAAGTAGCGCACCTGAAATTCGCTCGTTTGCGGTCCGTTGCGATTCAAAGTGCCGCGTCGTTGAGATTCGTTTCTTCATTGTCCTCGGTCAGTTATCATTGCTTTTGCCTTCGTCGTTTGACGAGTTGCATGCGTGAGCCAGCGAATCCATGATGGCCCGCTCGGCTGGGCGAGCGGTTTCTACTGTGGCACTGAACGACCCCACCCGCAGTGCCAGAATATCTCCGACGTAGCAATGCACTGTGTTGGTTTGTGGGTCAAGACTATTCGGTGCGAGCGCACCATGTCAATGGCCCCCGAACTTGTTCAAGGCAAGGTTGCCGTTGCATTGGTCAAGGGTTGGGCTCCACTTGTCCGTGCTCCCGTCTTGGGGGTTGTAGGTGTGCTCCGCGCGGGTAAGATCTCCAGTTCGGTAAAAAAAGAAAAAGAAAAACGATTTGCTCCTGTTTTCGAGCTGGAAGGTGACATAAAACTATTTGACGCCACGGCTAGGCCGAGACGGATCCCATGGATGACGCGGCCGTCGTCGACTTGTTGCGGGAAGCCGTGGCCGATGCATTTGTCACCAGGTTGGTGTTCCCAGGTGGGTACCGCTTTCTCAACCCAGAGAGTCGCGATGTGGTTGGTGCTTTCGGTTTGGAACACTCGAATTTCAACTCAACCATACTGTTTACGGACAGGCGGAACCACGTTGCATGTCTTGCGGCCCAGTTCTCACGACCTCACAGGCCATAGGCCGGCGGCAGGATTCCTGAATTTCCAGGGCATCTACCGACTAGGCTGGGGCAGATATTTTCTCGCGTTGCTTCCCGAGTGGGGGCGAGTCCTTTCGGCTGAAGTCGTCAGCTTGGTTTCGCATGTTTTTTTCGCAAAGTCACCAGTTGACGGCAACTTGGGCTTCTGTGCCGCACCAGCCTTTGAAGGGTTGTTTGGGCATGTGCCGTTTTCCAACGGGGACGCGGCATGGTGATTGGTGCGTGATCCGTGGGGGTCGCGCCCTTTGTTGGCCACGCAGATCCTCAGCTTGGCCTCGCCAGCTTGGCTTTTGAGCCGAGGTGGCTGCACAGGTGCCAGGGCATGTCATCTCCCTGGTGGGCTTCTGAGTCTGGCCTTTGCCTTCGGCCGTGGTGCGGCGACACAAGAAAGACATCACGGCTGGGCACCACAAACACATAATCTCAATGTTTTTGTTCATTGGGTATGGGTTTTGGAGCCGGGAGGGGTGCGGTGGCGCGCCATAGCCGTTTGTGACCACTTCCACCTCCTCAGCCGCACGGGATGTTAAGCTCCGATTTGGGTCCGGCATCCACCTCGATGGTCATGCTCCTATCGACAGGGCATGGTTGTCGCCTACAGCCCCTGCTTCTTCAGGCTGTATCTGGCGGGTGGCGACCTGGTGCAATCTTTACTTAGGCTCCAGTTGGCTTCCACGTCGCGTGAGCCTTGCCAGGGGTAAGGCTTCAACCAGCCCTGACAGGTGCAGTGTAGGTGCCTGGGAGTAATTGCTTTCACGGTGGGTTCCTTAGCCTAGTCTGCACAGGGCATGTGTCGCATTCCGGAGGGGACGTGACATGTTTGCCGGTATGTGATCCGAGGGGGGCGCGCGCACGGTGAATTTCACAGCTCCTAAGGTAGGCCTCGCCGGCTAGGTGGCTGCACAGGTGCCAGGGCATGTTATCTCCCTGGTGGACTTCTGAGTCTGGCCTGTGCCTTCAGCCGCGGTGCAGCGCCACAAGACACCACGGCTGGGCACCAACACAGAGCGGCTTTCGCAATGAGCCTCCTCGCCCGAAATCACAAATAATCAACATCGTCATTCAGTCTCTCCTGACACCCCCAGGGAGAGGAGAGGAAAGATGAGGGAGGTGGGGGAGAGGAGAGGCCTTCCTCCTCCCGTCGCCTCACCGTCCTTCTGCCTCCGTCCTTCTTCTCCCCCCTCCTCCTCATCATCATCATCCTGATCCTCATCCTCATCCTCTCTTCTCTTAAGGTCTCTTCCTCCGCCGCCTTGTCCCTTCATCCAGTACAGTGATGATGAGAAGAAGAGGCACCGCGGATGAAGATGAGCAGGACAAAGGGGGAGGGACGTGGGCGGAGAAGGACAGGGAGACTGAATAATGAGAGGCCAGACAGAGAGTGCGATGGTACATTGGGAACTTTGGGGGCGGTAAGTAGAGGGGGGAACACTTGTCGGTGTCTGGTTGAGATGGAGGGGGCCATTGGATTGCCCCCCCTCCAGGCACATGGATGACGAGCAGCAACAAGCAGAAACAGGGCGGAGCAGCAGAGAGAGTGTCCTGCCTCTGGGCCCGTCCTCATTATCCACCCTTCCTCAGTGCCATGGACGCGGGCGGAGGGGAGGAGTAACGATATTGAACATAATTAGGGGGCAGAGAACCAGAGAGATATAGAAAGAGAAAGAGAGAGGGAGAGAGAACGAACTGGTAGTTGACGAGGATGGAGGGACATGACGAACACGACGATGACGACGACGGCGACGGGGACGATCGGGACGGGAATGTGGAAGAAGCGTGTCAAGAGGAGCATGGAGGTAGCAGGGAGGGAGCTCGATGGAGCCTAGGGAGCAGCAGGGGGACGAGCACGACGACATGAACGGCCGACGCCGCCTGCTTACAGCATCCAGGGAAATAACATAAACACAAACACACACACACACACACAACCACACAAACACACACACAACCACACACGCACACATCTCGAGCATCGATCCGTCGTCGACCCTCGATCGAGGCGACGGCGACGACGGCGGCAGCCGCCGCCTCCGACTCGGCTCCCTCAGGGCGCGGGCGTCACAGACAGCACCTGGGCGGCGTGCGAGAGCTCCGATGCCCTGGAGGACGCCATTGAGGACGCGCGACCCCCCTCCCCGACGAGGGAGGAGGGAGCGGAGAGGGGACAAGCTGCGGGGGCCCGCGCCGTATCTTACAATCGACCCTTCCCACCCATCCCGTTCCGTTGCGCTGTTTTTCTCTACCAGCCGTCGCGTGTCACAGCAGGCATGGAACTCCAAACATGGCCCCATCGTGTTATGCGCAATTGGCAGGACAGGGACGTTCGTACGTTGGCGGGGAAGGGGTGGCGGATGAGCAGGAGGCAACGGGGCAATGGAAGAGGATGGGGCAGGAGGAGGACGAGGGCGAGCAGCAGCAGTAGGAGTTCGAGTGGAAGGAGGGGGAGGGGCAAGAGGACCAAGAGCATGCGGAGGAGCGACAGTGGGGGGGGGGGGGCGACAGCGGTGAAAGGGAACTCGGAGCCAGGCAAGTGGTCCGCTCTGGAGCGAGGGCCCCATTCTGAACGAGGGGGACAGCGCGCCGATCCGAAGATACGGCCCACGCTGCAGCGGGGGCACCACTTCGACATATTGAACTTTGCGGGGCTGTAGAACTCAACTGCTAATCAGCGTGGGACCCCAGGCAGCGTCGTTCTAGCACTCGATGCTGTGCAGTCTGCGTGGTACAATCAATGTGGGGCAAGTTACGTGGTGCGATATAGGTTGTGCACTCCCATGTCGTGCAATCTGCGTTGTGCAATCGACTATTCTGGAGTGGGGCAATTTACGTGGTGCAATACATGTGGAGCAATCTATATGGTTCGATCAATCGGTGCACTATGTTGTTCACTCGTGAGCGGTGCGCTATAGGTTCTGCAGCCCATGTTATGCGTTTTATACGGTTCAATGTCCAGGTTGTGCATGTTATGCAGTGCAGGCCAAGTGGTGCAATATGTCCCTAACAGCGTTTGCATTGCGGGGTCTCTTGTTTCTGTTTAAGGAGCTGGACTGGTTCGTCGGTCTCGCGGTTATGTGGCCGCCTTCGTCGCCTTGTCGCCGCCTTGTCGCCGCCCGTCGTCTGGGCCCGTCGTTCGGTCTGGCGGCTATGTGGCCGCAGTCTCCGCCTCGTCGCCGCCCGTCGTCTGGGCCTGTCTGTCGGTCTGGCCTGGCCGCTGTGTTGCCGCCGCCGTCGCCTCGTCGCCGCCTCGTCGCCGCTCGTCTGGGCCTGTCGGTCGGTCTGACGGCCATGCTGTCGCCGTCGCCGCCCCGTCGACGCTTCGCCGCCGCCGTAGATTGCACAGCATAGATTGCACCGCATAGGCTGCATCAAAACAAAAACCGCGTCGATTGCACCACTTAGATGGCACCACATAGGTTGCACAACATAGATTGCACCACATGTGCTGCACCACATGGATTGCAGAACGTAGATTGTACCACGTAGAGCGCGCACCAATCAGTGCACCAAGTATGGATCCTCCTACAAAAAGAGGAGCCGATGCAAAACACACATGATTCTGTCCCAATGCCCAGCATACCTGTGAGTACATCCTATCCCGGCCAGGCTGGTATCGGTCTCCCCGCCATCTTCTGCAACATATTATATGTCCGCGCGCTCGTTCATCAAAACTCTGAAGTTTTCAACACATCATGTTGCAACAACTGGGGCGAAGTGCGCCCGCGCGCGTCGCCGCGCGCGCATGCCGACACCCTTCCAACATGCTGGGTGTTGGAAGGATTTCAAAGTCGAGTGCACCAACAAACAACACAAAACAGAAAGGTGTCGCAACACGGCTGTTCAACAATAGCGTGCGCGCGCGCTCTTGCGAATCCTTCAGAAAACCATAAGTTGTTCAACAGGTTCTCAATATGCTACCAAATGGCCTTTTCGCGGGCGCATGTCGAAATCGGTCGAACGCCCTTGCGCGCGTGCTTGGGTGGCACGATCCGTGTCAAATAGTACCATGCGGGCCACTCGCGCGTGTGCCGCGCGCGCAATTCGAATTCCTTCCAAAACCTTCAGCACCGACGCGAAGACGCTGTCATTGTCGTGGGCGTGATCAGCATCGGCGCCGTCACTGGCTGCCCCGTCGTCGTTCACAGCATCGTCGGCAGCATCGCTACAACCATCATCGTGTCTACCGTTGTCGACGTTGTCATGAGACCGCGCTTGCCCAAGTCGTTGTCTCGTATTGGAGTGCCCGCTGGGATGTGCCGAGCGGTCAGCGCCACCGCGTTCGCGTCGGCCGCGCCGAATTCGCTGGCCGCGGCTTGCGTGAGCATGCGCGGGCTAGCGCAGCCGCAGAGATGCACCAGCCAGCACTCAGCACTCATCGCAATCGCTCCCGCATGGGTTGTGCAAACCAGGTTGCGGGTAGGTGGGTGGGATGATTGCGCGAGCAGTGGAGTTGACAAGTCTCGAGTTCGGCAAATGAATTAACTCTCCGTTCCAATAGAAGAAAAGACTCTACCCCCCCCCCCAGAGTTAGCGAACCCCTTCTGGGGCATTGCGATTTCAAACTCGTTCTACACACTCGCCCATCGTAAATCTGAGCTCGTCCAATCCCAGCCAAACCGGTATCACTCCTCCACGCCATCCTCTGCAACAGAACTATGCGCGCATTCTCGTTCATCGAAAAAATCACAAGTTGTCAAGAGTCCGTTGCAAACAACGGGACGAATTGCACACGCGCGCGTCGTTTCGCGCGCATGCCAGAATCCTTCAAACCAAACGGGCTTCGCGCGCGCGTGTCGAAATCATTCGGACGCCCCTGCGCGCGTGCCGCCGTGAGGATCCTCCTTGCGAGAAATGAGACGGAGTGCAGGCGCGCATCGCGCGCGCGCATGCCGAAATCTTCGAAGATCACGGGAGGGCGGGGTTCGAACCTTCCCTCCCCCTCCGTCCAATAGGGCGACGAGATCTATGCATATCCACTGCTCCTGGCCAGGCCCATCCTGGGCCCAGGAGCGGTGTATATGCCTCCCTGGCCAAGCCAGGAGGGCGTATACACAGCTCTTGGGCCCAGGATTGGCCTGGCCGGGAGCAGTGGATATGTATAGATATCGTCGCCCTATCCAAGGGGGGGGGAAGCCGGTTTCACCTCCCCCCTCCAAGCGACCACAGAACACGTTTCTTCGTATATCCAAACCTTGTTCCCTGAAGGCACCGGGCTGCGGGAGGGGGGGGGTGTCATGGAAGAGAGCTCCTCCCGACAGCTGCCGCTTTCAATTTCTGACCAGGTTCACCCTCTTCGGTCTGGTGCTGGGGCGGCCAGCATGGACGAGTATTGGGAAAGAGGGGGAGAGAGAGAGAGAGACAGAGAGAAAAGGAGAGAGACAAAGATAAAGAGAGAGCGAGAGATGGTTCAAAATGGACGGGCAGGGCGCGGATCGGGATGAGGCTGGATGAGGAGGAAAAGGATGGAATGCGGGGCGGATGAGGAGCAGGACGGGGAGGACAGAGGGGTGGGGTGAGGATGAAACGGGATGTGGATGAAAACCGACTGAGGATGCATGAGGAGAAGGAGTGGGACCGGGTTAGGGAGGAAAGGGTGTTAGAATTGATGAGGGCGTGCAGGAGGAGGACGAGGGCCCCACGGAATTCTTTACGCTTCGCGTATCCCCACCAGCCCATCTCACAGCAGCAACTCTTGCGAAGCATGCCGACAGTCGTGTTTTTCAGGCGTGCGTCCGCTTGGCCCCGCATATCTCCCTGTTCCTCCTTCCTCCCGCCTCCTTGTACATCCTCCTTGTGGGGGGAGCGGGAGAAGGACGAGGCGGAGGAGGAGGGAGAGAAAGCGCTCCTCGTGATTTGAGTCGTTTGGGGTTTCTCGTCCTGGTGTGAGTCGTTCGGGCCCTTCTTCCTGGTGTGAGTCGTTCGGGCTCTTCGTGGTGTGAGTCGTTCGGGCTCTTCGTCCTGGTGTGAGTCGTTCGGGCTTCTCGTGGTGTGAGTTGTTCGGGCCCCTCATCCTGGTGTGAGTCGTTCGGGCCCCTCCTCCTGGTGTGACTCGTTCGGGCTCCTCGTGGTGTGAGTCGTTCGGGGCCCGCGTCGTGGTGTGAGTCGTTCGGGCTCCTCGTGGTGTGAGTCGTCGTCGGGTGAGTCGAGTCGTGGTGTGAGTCGTTCGGGCCCTCGTCCTGGTGTGAGTCGTTCGGGCGTTCGGGTTCTTCGTGGTATGAGTCGTTCGAGCCCCTCGTCCTGGTGTGAGTCGTTCGGGCTCCTCGGGGGGCCTCTTGGCGGCCTCTTGGAGCCTCGTGGGGCCTCTTGGGGGCCTCTTGGGGGCCTCTTGGAGGCCTCTTGGGGGCCTCCTGGGGCCTCTGGGGGCCTCTTGGGGGCCTTTTGGAGGCCTCTTGGGGGCCTCTGGGGGCCTCTTGGGGGCCTCTTGGGGACCTCTTGGAGGCCTCTTGGGAGGCTCCTGGGGGCCTCTTGGGGCCATCTTGGGGCCTCTTGCGACCTCCTCAGAAGCGCCACGAAGCGCTGCCCCCTGAGAAAGACAAAATGAGCCCAAAACCCTCGTAAAATCAATGATTTTGCTATGAAGGAAGATGAGCGCGGCCCCCTCGGGAGGCCAAAATGGGGCCAAAACCCTCGTAAAAGCAAGGATTTTGGCTTCACAGAAGAGGAGGGGGCTACAAGAGCGCCCCCCCGTCGGGGCCAGAATCCTCGTGAGGGTCGTCGTTTTTGGCCCTCCCAGGCGTCGAAAAAGACCCCCCTGACCACCCGCGGAACTCCCTGTCCAGGCCCAGGGGGAGGGGGTAGGGGGAGGGGTAAACCCCTCCCCGGAGGGGAAGAAGGGGGGGTTGAGGACAGAGAGGGCTCTCTAAACCACTCACGCCCAAAGGGCTGGTGGGATTTCACAGAGGGCGGTTGCTAAGAGATCATTTGAAATCGTAGAAAGAGAGAGAGAGAGAGAGAGAGAGAGACAGAGAGAGAGAGAGAGAGAAAACAAAAAAAGAGGGAGAGAGAGAAAGAGAGAGAGATAGCGAGGGAGGAGTGAAGGACAGATGAGGAGAAGTAGGAGAGTTGCAGGGAGGGGGGATGGTGTTCTAAAGGGTTTGATGGTTAGAGTTCGGGGGCCGATGAAGGGGTGTGGCGCCTCTTCCTCTCCTTCGTATCCCCCCTCCCAACCTCACCTTCTTTGTCCTTCCCATCGCCATCCCCATCGCCATCCCTCCTTTTTCTGCATTTGCCTCCCCCTCCCTCCCTCCCTCCCTCCCCCCGGCCCCTGTTCTTCTGTGTCCCTCACTCCCCCGTCCACCTCAACCTTTCTTCCTTGCCCCTCACTTCTACTGCAGGGCCCGTGATACGTGTAGGCATGGGTACATGCATGATGTACCTGGATGCGTCGTGACAATCTCTTGGGAGGAGGAGGAATAGGAGGAGAGGGGCGATGTCGATGATGCGTCATTCCACCCCATGAGCCGCAAGAGACGCATTAGGATCATTGCATCAGAGACGGACGAGGAGGGCGACGATGAGGATGAGGAGGAGGGGGCGGGCTAACTGGTGGTGAGGAACAGAGCGACGACAACGACAAAGGCAACCTGAGGTCCGCCGTCCGTACGCAAAACAACGCGTCGTGACAGATAGCAAGAGGACCCGGCAACCAATCCCTCATGCAACAAGAATTCCGTTTGGCTTCGATCCGTGAGAGTCCCACTGTGCCCGAGACGAGCGAAATTGTCAGTTGCGATTCGTTCACGTCGCCTGGATCTGAGGGAGCGGGCAGGCAAGATGGTCGATCGGGAAGGGGGGGCGAGGAGGGAGGAGGACGACGACGACGAGCATGCGGAGGACGGCGAGGACGACAAAGACGACGAGGACGCCATCGACGACGGCGACGACAAGGACGACTGGAGCTGGGTTGGCGCTTGGCGGGGCAGGACGATCTGCCGCGGGAGCGGCTCGTGCCCGTGCTGGAGAGGCCACCGTGCCGTCGTCGCCGTCGTCAACTCGAACACTCATTTCAAGAGACCAATGGAAACGGTTCTGGGCGCTCTCGCCTCGACGCCGCCAGCATTTTCTGTGAAACCAAGGCTCCCGCTCGAGCGCGGGCTCGGATCCCACTCCCCGCTGTTGAACCTGCGAGGACAAGGGCTTCCGCCCAGCACTTCCTCACAAGGTACTCGAGAGGCTCTGGCCAGAGGGCCCAAAACTCGAGAACAGCCCTCTCGCTTGGGACGTCCTCGCAAATCAGGCAAGGTGGCGAAGGTCCAACTACGACGACAACGGCTCCTGCTCCACGCTTCCTCGTAATTTCCACGTGTGCGCCTTGGTCATCTGCAATATCACACTCAGGAAAGGTGCTCACCCCGAACACGTCCTCGCAAGTCATGTCAGGTTTTCAGGCCCATCTACGACGACGGCGTTTCCTGCCCAATACTGTCTCACAGTTTACGCTGAGACGCCCTGAAGGCCCACAAACTCCTGAACGGCGCTCTCTTCTGGGACTTTTCCGTATTTCACGTAAGTTTGTGAGTAGCCTGTTGGCGCATTAGCTCGCGTGATGGCCATGCCGGCGCGGTGCGCACAAAGAGTGCATTGTTGATTGCTCCTTCCAGGACTTGGCATGCACGTTGGACCACGGTAACCTCTGGCGTCATTCCAAAGCATGTGTTTTCAGGATGGGCTCGCTGCCGCGACCTAGTTGGACGCCCAATACGCTACTCGGCCAATGCGGGACCACAGGCGCTACGAAATGATGCAGTCCAGTGGGTACGTCCGGACCGTCGAACTAAGAATCTATTAGGTTCGGGTTCGCAGGAGAGCTCGGGAGCAGGAAATCCCAACCAGATTTTGGGCAGCAAGTGAGGTGCCATCACTATTTAACTAAAGTGTTACGGCGAACCCTGGCTTGATGATTTTCTTTGGAGCTCCATTGGAGCTCCACCGAAGGCGCCAGTGGCAGGGTTCGCATGGCGGCCCCGGGCCATTTCGGCGCACCCCTCACGAGGATGGTGGCCCCATAGGGAGCTCCACCGAAGGCGCCAGTGGCAGGGTTCGCATGGCGGCCTCAGGCCATTTCGGCACACCCCTCGCGAGGCCCCTTGGAAGCTCCACCGAAGGACCCAGCGGCAGGGTTTGCATGCGTCCCCCCGCCCATTTCGGCACACCCCTCACGAGGATCGTGGCCCCCTAAGGGGTTCCACCGAGAGCGGTACTCACAGCTGCACATGGTTGGGTCCTTTGCCAGGATAATTCTGTTTTTCCCCTCCGTTGCGCCGGGCGATTTCCTTCGTCTTTGCCCCCGCCCCCCCGAACTTCTCCGCTCGCAGCCGCCTCTGCTGCGCTGCCTGCTGCGCGCGGCCAGCGGCCCGTGTACTCCACCCGCTGCTGTCTCCGCGAAAGCGGCGATCAGTTCGGTAGCCTCCCCCCGCGGATCGCGCCCCGCGGGGGGCTTCCTCATCTGCGGCAGCAGCAGAGGCGCGCCCGCAGCGTCTCCGCGCCCACTCCCGCGCGCCCTCAGCAGGGGCTGCAGCCCGCAGTGGGCTCCACCCCTGGGCGCGGGAGGGGCGCCCCCCCGAGCTTGCCCGCGGCCACCGCGGCGCGCCGCCCCCGCGAGCGCCGGGGAGCTCCGCCCGCGGCCCTCGCGGTGGCGCCCCAGTTGCGCCGTCGCGCCCGCGTCGGCATGCCCCGTCGCGGAGGTCGCGGGCGGCCGCGGCTGCGCTGGAGGCCCCGGCGAGAGCTCCCGCGGCGTCACCGTGTTTTTTCCGGCGCGCCTTTCCAGGAGGGCGGCGCCCCAGAAGGGGCGGCGCCTTGCGAGCCCAGTAGGGGTAGCCATTACTGCGCATGGCGCATTCAAGCACGTGCTTGCGCGCGCTTGAACATATCGTGCTCCGCGCGGCAGCTCCGCGCAAGGCCCCGGCGCCGAGGCCACCCCCCCCTGGCATCGTCGTCGCGCTTTTCACTCAGGTTGTGCCCCATGTGGAATTTCACCTGCCGCGTCGGCGGGGGCGCCAGCGCGCGGTCGCCCATTGCCCGAGAGAAAGGAGAGAGAGAGAGAAAGAGAGAAAGAGAAAGAGAAAGAGAGAGAGAGAGAGAGAAAAAAAAAAGAGAAAGAGGGGGAGAGAGAGAGAGAGAGAGAGATCAATCAAAAGCCCGATTGGTGCGCAGAATTGCGGGGCGACGAAAATTTCGGAATGCATCGGGCAAAACGGCCCGCCGAAATTCTATGGGCCGATCGGGCTCTGGGAAAACAGCCTGTGACCCTCCCGAAATTTCCGCGGCCTCGGCCACCTGGGGTTTCGCTCCCAGCCGCCGATAGAATCGGCCAAAGGGCGGCCGCGGCAGGCGATGGCGCCCCGCCAGTGCAGGATCGGAAACCGCGCCTAAATTGATCGACGCTACGTTTTCGTTTGTGTTTGGGGGGTCGGAAAGGGGCGGCGGGGGCGCGGGGGTTAGAGGGCGGGATGGCGCGGAGGGGGGCCGGGCAGAAACGGGTAGACGCTGAAAAAGAAGGGGGGCGGTGTCGGCGGGCCCGGGGAGCGGTGATGGGAGCGGGGAAAATAGAGGGAAGGACATAGGAGCGGGGAGGGGGATTGGCAAATGGACGGCCCGGGGGGTGGCGGGAGGCGAGGTCGCGGCGGGGTCAATGAACGGGGCGACGGCGGGTCGAGGAGGGAGGGAGGATGGGCGTGGGGACGCGGGGTCTGTCGCCATTCCGGTTCAAACCCCTGCGGCGGCGTCGTTTCCCATCTTCAATGTGGTGGATGGGCGCGGACGCTGGCGAGCGCGTCCGCGTGCGTTCCCAGGCCGTCGCGCGGCCCACCGAACGTGTCTCGCGCGCTCGGTCGCGAGCGCGGAGTCTCGGCGTCGGCGCGAGGTCGCTTAACGGCGTTACAGCCATGGGCGGCGGTTCGCCGCAATGGGCGCCTCGGCCGCTGCGGCCTGGCTCGGGCCTGCCCAGGCGAGCCCCGGACGGGGCGCGCGGCATTCGCGTTCTTCCTCGGTAACTGCGTCAACGCCGTTCTGGCCCGCGCGCCCCCAGGAAAAAAGGAGAGGAAACCAAACAAAAACAACTGCCTGAACGTGTCGGCGCATAGACGCGCGGCTCCCACGACGCGCTCGCGCTCGCGGCGGAGGCCGCGGAGGAGTTGCGGCCAGAGACGCCGGGGCCGCCCTGCCAGCACGGCGCGCGCTGGCCTCGCAGGCGCGGGCGTGGACGCCAGCGGACACGATCACCGTAACCATTTTCAGCACGATTTTCCACGTTGTTTGCATCAGTGGGGCAGCTGGAGATGTACACACGTTGTTTGCTATTCGGGTGCTTCACTGGGGTAAGATGTTGTCGAACGACGGGGCGCAGTACAACATAAGCGCCCGCACGTGAAACGCGCGCAGTTCTAGTGTAACGTAAACGCGGGTACGCATACGTACCCAACATTGTGTATACGTACACGAGTATGTTTATAGACATCTCATTCTCTCTCTGTCTCTGTCTGTCTGTCTCTCACTCTCTCTCTCTCTCTCTCTCTCTCTCCTCTCTCTCTAATATATATATATATATATATTGGTATATATCTATGTATTACATTCATACATATTTTATATGTAAAGAATGATCACGGACAACACAACAACCAACACAGACAGAGACGGATGTCGCCCCCTCTTCCCTTCCCCCCCCCCGCACGCCCCTTCCCGCCACTCAGAATGCCCGCGGCTGGCAGGTGCCCTCGCAACGCATTCAACTTCTGCGCGCGTTGCGTTGCGGCTGCGGAAGCGGCGTTGGCTTTGCAGGCGCCGTGCGGGGCGGGGCCCACGACCTCGGACACATGTTGTTGATTTCTTGTGGTTCGGATCTTGTGAAGGGTCCACTTCTTTGGCCTTCATGGACCTCCAGGTGCTGTTGGGGACCTCGGGAAGCTTCCGCCGACATCTGGGGATGCCGTGACAACGATGTGATAACGACCGTTGTGGGAGCGGGTTTCTTTTGTTTTGGGTCCAGATCGAGGAGCCCATTCGTGTGCGATGCCCCCCCGTGGGTTGAACAACCCGTGCTTTACTCATGCAGCGTTCCCCATGGTGGCACGACCGTTGTATCCATGGACGTGTGGAGACCTCCACGGCAGGGGTGGAAACCTACAGAAAGTCCCAGGTTCGAGGTTCGGGGATGTTGTTCGCAAGTTTGTTTCGGGCGTCTTGTGACCGCCTCGGGTGGTTTCACTTCGGATTTTTGACCAGCATGCCCCTCGGGAAGGGTTCAAGGTGGGTCCCCCATGTCTGCCCCCCCCCCCCGCCATGTTTTCTCCGCATCCTCCTCCCACCCCTCCTTTGGAAAGCCTTTAATATTCAACCCATGCGGCTCCTCGTTCGGTCCCGCGCACCCTGGCCTTCCCAGAGCGAGGGACGCCGACGGCGACGAGGCGGAGGAGGCAAAGGACGACGACATCGACGAGGACGACGGTGAGCACGAGGACGACGTCGACGAAAAGTCGGAGGAGGAGGAGGAGGAGGAGGATTACGATGACGAGAGGGGGGAGGGCGAGGATCATGATGAGGATGAGCAGCACCACCACCATGGTTACGCAGTATGGAAGGGCAATGACGACCAGGAGGAGGGAGAGCATAGTAACAGCAAGAGGAGGAGAACGTGAAATATCAGCATCACCCCAGGAGGAAGAGAAGATGGCCAACGACAAGGAAAAGGCGAGAGGGCGAGGAGGAGGGAGGACAAACTCACGGACAAGGTCAAAAACACACCATGAACCCGATCAGTAGTAGCAAGGAGGATGTGTATGAGGAGTTGCCATGGCGACGTGTTCGACATCGAGACAGCGAACAGAGTTGGACGAGGAGGGGGAGAGAAGGAAGGGAAAAGGAGGGAGGAAACGGTGGAAGAGGTGGAAGAATAACGGCAGCAGCGGCAGGATGGACAAGGATGTGGACAGGGGACAACGAACAAAAGAGGGCTGTTGGGAGGTCTCCGGAAGTCTGTGGAGACCGTAAGATGGCCCGACCAAACCCAAGCATTTCGATCTTCGATCCTCCCTCTTCCTACTTCTTGCTGCTTATCCTTCTCCCTTTTCTCTCTCGAGGTCCGCCTGCTGACTTCGGCAGCCCTACAGGTTTGTGTGTGTGTGTGTGTTTGTGTGTTTGTGTGTGTGGGGGCTCGGACGCCTTCTGCCCCAGGGGTCCCTTCGTGCTGGGCGCGGCAAGGCTTGTGGGCCCCGCCACCGATGGGTCTGTTCCGCACTGGGGTGCTCTCGAGGTGCTCGAACGCCAAGATGTTGCTTGACCGACCGTCACTCGTGCACGCGTCGAGCTTCGCCGTCGCCGCCCGCCTCTCCCCCCCCCCCGAAGAGGAGGGGAGGCGAAGAGCAGCGGCAGCAGCCTGAACAGGAGGAGAGGCCGGCCCGAGCCGCCCAGGCAGGCCATTCCAGGAGGCCGCATTTGGAGGCGGACTGGGTGGGGAGCAGGAGGAGGCCGTTTTCCCCTCGCCAGGAGTGGGGCCTGACGAGGCAAGCACGACGGCCTCACAGGAGGAGGAAATAGAGGAGACTGGCTGAGATGCACGCGCGGACGACTTAGCATCAACACGAAGTCGGATGCTACCCGCGGGGAGGCGGCTGCTCAATCCCCAGGCCATCTTTGCGCGGTCAGGGCGAGCGACAGGAGTAGTAGGATGATGGGGGGAAGCGGCCTCAGCTGGAGAAGGAGGGGCAGGGGGGAGCCGCCAGGGCGACGCCTTCGACGAGGGGGCCGAGGGCAGGCTGGTGAACTCGTGGCCCACCCCCCATGCGCGCGGCGCGGGGTCGAGGACGTCGGCAAGGAGGAGGAGGACGTTGCAGGATGGCGGATGGTGGAGGAAGAGGTTGGAGGAGCGAGGAGGGGGAGGAAAAAAGGATGAGAGAGAATGGTCGAGGAAATGGGCGACATATCTGATTGCAATGACGTTAGCAAGGGGCGACAGAGGAGGACAGCGGGCCAGATGGAACAGGGCAGCGTGCCAGATGGAATAGGGCTTGTTTTACACATATATACATGCATGCACAGATATATGTATACGTGTGTATATATATATATGTATGTATGTACACGCGTGCATACATTTACTTGTACATATATAACTATGTAAAAATACACACTACATGTGTATACTGAGGGAGGGATATGCATTACGATTGCATTATGGGCGGCGAGTGTTCGAGCGGACGCGAGAGGGACTCACGTGCGACATGTCGTTTCCACAGGATTCGGGGAGCCGTGATGATGTTGTTGGTGTTGTTGCCGTTGTTGTTGTTGTTGCTGCTGCTGCTGTTGATGTTGATCATGGTGATTATGGTGGTACAGAAGCTGATGATGGTGATGATTAGGCTGGTGATGATGAGAATGAGGATGAGGATGAGGATGGGCATGATTGTGGTGGTGGCGATGATGGTGGTGGTGGTGGATGTGGCCGTCGTGGTGTCGGTAGTGCTGATGGTGATGAGGAGGTGGATGAAAATGACAGTGATGATGAGGAGGAAGACGATGAGGATGATGTAGTAGGAGGAGAGGAGGAGGATCAGGAGGCAAGAGAGGAATAGGAAGGCCATCACATGTGGCACCTCTCGCCTTTGCCAGTTGACGAGCCCTTATGGAAATCGCTTGGGCCGTCTTGCAGCGTCTATGAGGCAGCCTTGGGGCCCCCTTGGGGGACCTCTTGAGCCGTTTTGGGGGCCCCTTGGGACCTTCTGGGGGCAGTTGTGTTGCCCTAGTGGGCAGTCTGGGGAACCTCTTGGGCCGTCTCGAGGCCCTCTTTTGATCGGGGGAGCGTAAGACCCGGGTTTGCCGGGACTCGGGTTCGCCATCGTTTTTTTGACGACCGCGACTCGGATTTTGACGAGGAGGAGTTTCGTGGGATGTTTGCAGCGGGAGGCCTCGTCAAAATGCAGGCTCGGCCTCGTCATTTTTTTGACGACCTCGTCGGGGATTTCCGAGTTCCCCGTACCCGGGTCTTACGTCTCCCCGATTTGAGCCTCTTGGGTGCACCTATTGACCCTCCTGGGGGGCCTCCGGAACCCTCTTGGGGCGGACGGTTCGAACTGTGTGTTCGTGTTCACCCTATTGGGCCCTTCCTGGGGCCGTCTTGGGGGTCTCTTGGGTATTCGTGGGCGCCTCGTGGGCCACGTTGGAGCTTTCGTGGGTCGTCTCGGTGACCTCTTGGGAGGATTATTTAGCCGTCTTGGGGCAGTCGGTGGCCTTGCTTGGGTCGAACATGTGAGAACCCGCAAAACATTCAACTGCCAACGTGACATGTATTTTGCCCCTCCAGGTCCTATTCGGCCTCGTGGTCCGTCTTGAAGCTATCTTGGGCCGTCTTGAGGCTAAAGTGGGCCGTCTTGGGGCTAAAGTGGGCCGTCTTGGGGCAAGCTTGGGCCGTCTTGGACGCACCTTGGCCTCGGGAGCGCGAACCTCCAGCATTTTGCGAGGGATTGGGGCATCGGGAAGAGGGTGCGGTGCGTGCGAACGGTTGCGGACCGCATTGGGGGGTGGCCAGTAGAAAATTACAGGAGTCCTATTGGACAGCACTTCGCATTCTTCCGCGCCCAAGCGTGCCTTGGGGCACGGTGGCGTGAGTATGTTCCCCAATCAGTGCTTACACTGAAGGGGTCCCAGCGGATATTGAAAGAGAAGGCGAATGCCTCACACCGATTTTGGTAGCAGGCCGGGTTCCCGGGTTCCAGGTTCCGGGTTCCCGGTTCCAGGGCCGATTTCGGTGGGCGGCGAGGTTCCCAGGTTCTTGGGTTCTTGGTCGATCTTTTTATCGATCGGTCTCAGCATCGATCTCATTTCCCCTTATCTATCGATCTCACAATCGATGTCACAATCGATCTCGCAAGCAATCTCACTATAGATCGCACGAGCGATCTCGCGATCGATCTCGCCATCGATCTCATAGAACCCATTTCACTCTCGGTCTCACGATCGACCTTACAATCATCAATTATCGATTCCACGATCGATCTCACAATCGATCTCAAGATCCATATGAATAATTTTCAAATAATCCACTGACTGGGGTTTTCACAGGTGTAATATACCTGTAGAATGTGGAGACAGGGTGAGAGAGAGAGAGAGAGCGAGAGAGTCTTGTCTCCCTATAGCCTCCCCTTCCCTTCTTTGCGCCCTCTCCCACCCTCCCCCGTCTCTCCCCTGTGTCTCTCTCTCTTGCGCTCTATCCCTCTCTCTCACACATACTCACTCTCTCTCTCTCTATTCCTCCCTTTGTTTGTTATCTTGCTCTCTGTATCCCTCTCTCTTTCTATGATCATAGATATGTTTATGTAAATATGTATGTGTATATGTCTGTGTATATGTAACTCTGCCATGTCATCTGCACCTTTCGTTGGTTATGTGTTTATCTGCCTCTCTCGCTCTCTTTCTTTCTCTCGTTCTCTGTCTCTCTCTCTCTCTCGTTAGTTGATGTATGCGTGTATGCTTATCTCCCCCTCTCTCTCCCCCATCTCTCTCGCTCTCTCTTTCTCTTTCTCGTTCGTATGTATGTATGTATGAGTTTTTGTATCCATGTATGTGTGTATGTATGTATGTATGTATGCATTCAAGTGCATTACGCCATTCCGCCGACCTCCAAGGAACAGCGAGTGCGTGCGACGATCTTAGAAGTTACCTGGTGGGCCAGGAGCTCCTTGGATGCATTTGAGGGGCTCATGGGCTGCCTCATCAGGACGCTCCCTCAGAAAAGGTGATGGAGGAACGGAGAAGGGGCAGAAGAGGAGGGGAACGATTATCGAATGGCCTTCGGCCCATCCCGCCACTGGGCCTGGGTTGTGAGTATGAAGCTATTGGATGCTCGTTGGAATCTCGTGTGAGGCCTCTCGGGGGCCTCTTGGAGGTAGCTTGGAGGCCTCTCGCGGGCCGTTTTGGGGCCTATCGGGGCTGGAAATTGGGCCAGGGAGCAGCGAGGTCTCGGCTGGATGCGCGGGCCCCCCTATTGGACCTCCCAGGAGTTCACGAATCATGGCGACAGTTGCGCAGTTCGCAGCCACCCAGGGAGCAGCGGGTCTCGGCGGGATGCTCGTGGCCCAGTGGCCCAGTGGCCCCCGACACCGCTGAACCTCCCGCGACAGTTGCGCAGTTCACAGCCACCCAGGGAGCAGCGAGGTCTCGGCTGGATGCGCGGGGCCCCCGACTCCGCTGCACCTCCCAGGAGCCCACTAAAGTGGCGACGGTTGCGCAGTTCGCAGCCGCCCGGATAGCAGCGAGGTCTCGGCTGGATGCCCGTGACCCACGGACTCCGTTGGACCAGCAGCCCACGAGACTGGTGACAGCTGTGCAATTCGCAGCCGCCAAGCGGGCAGCGAGGTCTCGGCAGGAAACGCGTGGCCCACGACCTCGTTGGACCTTCCAGGAGCCCGCGACAGCGGCGGCAGTTGCGCAGTTCGCAGCCACCAAGGTAGCAACGAGGCCTCGGCCAGACGCGCGTGGCCCACGACCCCGCTGCACCTCCCTGTAGCCCACGGAAGTGGCAACAGTTGCGCAGTCCGCAGCCGCCAAGCGGGCAGCGATGTCTCGGCTGGATGCCCGTGGCCCGCGACTCCGCTGGACCTTCCAGCAGCCCGCGAAAGTGGCGACAGATGCGCAGTCCGCAGCCACCCAGGGAGCAGCGAGGTCTAGGCAGGATGCGCGTGGCCCACGACCTCGTTGGACCTCCCAGGAGTCCACGAAAGTGGCGGCAGTTGCGCTATTCGCAGCCATCCAGGCAGCAACGAGGCCTCGGCTGGATGCGCGTGGCCCACGACCCCGTCTGACCTCCCAGCAGGCCGCGAAAGTGACGACAGCTGCGCAGTGCGCAGCCGCCAATCGGCTGGATGCGCGGGGCCATCGGCTCCGTTGGACCTCCCAGGAGCCCGCGCAAATGGCGGCAGTTGCGCAGTTCGCAGCCACCCAGCGAGCAACGAGGCCTCGGCTGGATGCCCGTGGCCCCCGACTCCGTTGGACCTTCCAGGAGCCCGCGAAAGTGGCGACAGTTGCGCAGTCCGCAGCCACCCAGGGAGCAGTGAGTTCGCTGCTGCACGCGCGCGGCCCACGACTCCACTGGACCTCCCAGCAGCCCGCGACAGCGGCGACACTCGCGCAGTTCGCAGCCACCCAAGTAGCAACGAGGCCTCGGCTGGATGCGCGTGGCCCCCGCTCCGCTGGATCTCCCAGGAGTCCACGAAAGTGGCGACACTCGCGCAGTTCGCAGCCGCCAAGCGGGAAGCGAGGTCTCGGCTGGATGCGCGTGGCCCGCGACCCCGCTGGATCTCCCAGGAGCCCACGAAAGTGGCGACGGTTGCGCAGTTCGCAGCCACCCAGGGAGCAGCGAGGTCTCGGCTGGATGCGCGTGGCCCGCGACCCCGTTGGACTCCCCAGGAGCCAACGAAAGATGCGGCAGTTGCGCAGTTCACAGCCGCCCAGGGAGCAGCGCCGGAGGATGTGGGGAGGCGGAGGTGAGGAGTGAAGAGCGGAGGCCACAGTGCCCATTTCAAACAGAGAACCCAACGTTGGAGGGTTGGGAACGTTAACTCGAATCAGGCGTTGCACGTTTGCATGGCACGCCGTTATCTCCAACGTGCTCCGAAACATGTGCATCCACGCCCCTTTGGGGTGACATCGCGGCGAGTGGTTCTCAGAGTTCTGAATAGCTTTCTCTCGCGCCCCATCTCCACGTTGCACATGCCCCTGGGATGGGTGCCACTGCGGGTGCGCATGTGTCGAAGAGAGGCTTTCAGATTTTCAATC